ACTCTTTGTTCCAAAAGACAATTAGACTCCTTAGTTCAAGTACTTCAGACTTGGCTTGTGGGCAAGGGCAGGGAGAAAGGAAAGGGATGAGGAAAAGTTGGGCATCCAGAAGGTAACACTGGAAGCTTGTTAGCTTTTGGACTTGTTCAACAGGTTCAAGGTTCTTGAAGCTGATGCGAACACTCACTGGTCCATTTCTCAGGACAATGCCCTGACTAATCACAGTCAACTTGCCTGGTTTAAAAATTTAAACAAAGCCTGATAGCTGACTTGCAATTATTAATTTTTAATTCTTCATGGCAATGCCTCTCTATCAACCAGAATCCATTTGTCAATCAATCAGCATACTCCTCTTGTATTGTTTTCCCCCTAAATTGGCATTCTTGTGAATTGTCTTGATGAATGCAATATGGAAATTTATGCCAAAACATGGCTTTTGTGAGCAATACTCCAGTTCTGTGTAACTAAATGACTATTTGAAAGCTGTTTCGCTTGATGTGATGCCAACGATTGTGTAAGTTACCTGCTACAAAACACAATGGTTTTCATTGGGGAGGGGATAGCAAATCCACCTCATCAGCTGAGTGTCAGAAAAAACCCAAAACCCCAGTCACAGAACTGAAACTGTTAAGTTTCGAATGAATTTAATTATACTGCTTTGACTCCTTTAGTCAGTCTACATGTTATACCAGAACAGAACACAGTGTAAGAACCATTTCTGAAGAAGGGTCTAGGCCCGAAACGTCAGCTTTCCTGCTCCTCTGATGCTGCTTGGCCTGCTGTGTTCATCCAGCGCTACACCTTGTTACATCGTAAGAACCTTCAGGCTTAGCTAACACCAGTCTCTACTTTCAATTTCTCTCAAAAGCCTTTTTCTGGAATTTAACTCCTGTATTTCACCTTTGAAGCGTACCAATTCCCAGCTTACAAATACTCACTGTCACCTGCAATTGATTGCATCTGAGTGCTTGCGAAAGGTTGCTATCACCTGCAATTGAAATAGCTTCCACTGGGCAGTAACCTGTTGGACTCTTTAATTTACATAAACTAGTGCTAATGTCTTTGATTTTTAACTAATTTGCACTTATTCTTTCCTTTATTCCTTGGATACATGTGTAAATGAATGTCTGTTGTGAACCATTCCCCGCAGCTTCGAACACAAAATAAACACTTTGTTTTAACCCTAAAGAATTTGCCACGGGTGTTAAAAGAGAAACATATTTAATGTCTCGAGTCCAAATTGAGACTCTTTTTCAGTTCTCAAGTGAATGGGTGGGTGTGTGGGCGAATGTGAGTTAATAGTGGAGCATGTAGTTTTTGGCTGCAAAAAGCAGGATAGGAAGGGATGCTCAGAGATAGCAAAAGCTGCAGGCAGACACTGGAGTCAGAGATAACTCAGTTTGGAGCTAGAGGAACACAGCAGGCCAGGCAGCATCCGAGGATTAGGAATGTTGATGTTTTGGATCGGTGCCCTCCTTCAGAAATGAGGAGGGGTTGGGGAGATTTTAAAACTGGTGAAATCAATGTTTAGGCCATCGGGCTGTAGACTCCCGAGGTGGAAGATGAGGTCCTGTTCCTCCAGTTTGCGGGTGACGTCATTTTGACACCGAGATAACAAGGTGTAGAGCTGGATGAACACAGCAGGCCAAGCAGCATCAGAGGAGCAGGAAAGCTGACGTTTCGGGCCTAGACCCTTCTTCAGAAATGGGGGAGGGGAAGGGGGTTCTGAAATAAATAGGGAGAAAGGGGGAGGCGGATAGAAGATGGATAGAGGAGACAGACAGGTCAAAGAGGCGGGGATGGAGCCAGTAAAGGTAAGTGTAGGTGGGGAGTTAGGGAGGGAATAGGTCAGTCCAGGGAGGACAGACAGGTCAAGGGGGTGGGGTAAGGTTAGTAGGTAGGAGATGGGGGTGGGACTTGAGGTGGGAGGAGGGGATAAGTGGGAGGAAGAACAGGCTAGGGAGGCGGGGACGAGCTTTGCTGGTTTTGGGATGCGGTAGGGGGAGGGGAGATTTTGAAGCTTGTGAAGCCCACATTGATACCATTGGGCTGCAGGGTTCCCAAGCGGAATATGAGTTGCTGTTCCTGCAATCTTCGGGTGGCATCGTTGTGGCACTGCAGGAGGCCCAGGATGGACATGTCGTCTGAGGAATGGGAGGGGGAGTTGAAATGGTTCGCGACCAGAAGGTGTTGTTGTTTGTCGCAAACAGATTCCAGCACCTTTCCCTGCAACTGTAGGAAGTGCTACACTTGCCGACACCTCACCCTCACTTCCATTCAAGGCACAAAACAAACCTTCAACATTAGACAGGCATTCACCTGCACATCTGTCAACTTGGTCTACTGTATCCACTGCTCCTGGTATGGCCTCCTCTACATCGGTGACACCAAGCAGAGACTCTTGAGACCGTTTTGTAGAGCACCTGTGTTCTGTACGTGACAAACGACAACACCTTCCAGTCGCGAACCATTTTAACTCCCCCTCCCACTCTCTGGGCAACATATCCATCCTGGGCCTCCGCTAGAGTCACAATGACACCACCCAGAAACGAGAGGAGCAGGACCTCATACTCCACCTTGGGAGCCTACAGCTCGATGGCCTAAACATGGATTTCACCAGTTTTAAAATCTACTGACCCCCACCCTGGCCTCATCCCATGTCCAACCCTCCCTCTTATCCCCACCTCCTTGACCTGGCACAACCTGTCCATCTTCTCTCCCACCTACCTGACCAATCTCCACCACTCCCTACCAGCACTCACCTATCACCATCCCACCTACCTCCCCCAGCCCGACCCCTCCTCTATGTATTTCCCAACTCCCTTCCACCACCCTCCATTTCTGAAGAAGGGTCCCAATCCGAAACACCAACTTTCCTACTCCTCCGATGCTGCCTGGCCTGCTGTGTTCCTCCAGCTCCACACAGTTATAGGAGAGGATGCTATCATGTGAATTCCAGTGAGGCCAAATCTGAATGCAAGCCACCAGAGACAAACCAAGTTTTGTGTTAGTTAAACCCACCTCCTCAGCTCAAACAGGCCCATGCCCCCTTTTTTGGGGGCACTGGAGGCTCTGTTAAAATAGAAGAAGTGTTTTATTGGTTAGCTCTACTGCTTTGCAATTTTTAGTAGACAATTTTACTATTCAAATTGCCAATTTAGTGCTTTGATTTTTTCTAAATTTCACGTTGACTGTCCTGGCAAACTTTATCTTTTTGAAATTTCTTTAGTGGCCCCCAAGTGAAAGAAAAGTTGAATGTGCCCCTGCATGCAAAAACACTGAATAACCCTGATATCAAAGATCACTATACAAGAAAGGGGATCCTAATGTTGGGGGCTATTACAGTATCAATAGTAGAGGATTGACTAACAAACTGGTAGTCAGGATGAATGGATTATCTTCAAGGTGGCAGTCTCAACAATTGCCAATCTCTATTCCAGACTTTGACAATGGGATACAGTATAATGTAGCCAAATTTGGTGACAAGGCAAGATTGTTGAGAAAGCGAGTTGTGAGAATGGTACAAAATTTCTGAGTGGGCAACAATGGTGCATCAAGTATAATGTGGGAAAATACGAGGTTACCCATTTTGATAGGGAGAATATAAAAGCAAACTATTATTTAAATTGAGAAACTATAGAACGCTTCATTGCGTTCAAAGGGAATTCAGTGATCTTGTATTTTAATTACAAAATGATAGCTTCCAGGTACAGCAAGTAATTCAGAAGACAAAGTGAATGTTATCCTTTACTGGAAAAGAGATGGGATATAACAGTAAGGAGGTCTTGCTCTGACCGTACAAAGTATTGGTTAGATCACATTGAAAGTATACAGTTTTGATCTCCTTATTTAAGGGTAGACACACTTGCATTGGAGGCAGTTCAGGGCGGGTTCACTGGGTTGATTCCTGGAAGATGCCTTTTGAGGAAAGGTTGAGCAGGGTGGGTCTGTGCTCAATGGAATTTAGAAGAATGAGAGATAATCTTATTGAAACATAAAAGATTTTTAGAGGGCTTGACAGGTTAGAGGTTGAAAGGAGCTCTACCTTTAAAGAGAATTGAGATCTAGGGGACAGATTTTCAGAATTCTCCACCCAGAGAGTACTGGAGGGTAGTTCATTGAATATATTCAAGGCTGAGCTGGCATTTTGATGCACAAGGGTGTCAAGGGGTATAGGAAGCAGGCAAGAAAGTGGAGTTAATGTCACATGGTTATATTGAATGGAAGTGTAGACATGAAGGACCAAATGGCTTGCCCCTGATATTTCTTATGCTCTTAGGACTCCACTCAATTTAATCAGGAGAAATTTTCCAATTTCTTAATGAGACAGTAAGTAATTGAAATAAATCTACATTGTCAACTTCACACAAATGAATTATTAGCTGACAAACAGTAGGAAAAATATCTGTTTCAATTGTACAGAAACTTTAAAAGGAACACAAAACAGTTTTAATAAAATTACATATCTTGTGTAAAGTGGCAAATAATTGTGGCCAAGACTGAGGTTGTTCAATGAATCTCAGAATTCAGTTTTATACTGCTTAGACCCGTGTTCTTGTCAAGACATCACTGTAACCCTCCTAGGCATTTTGCTGCCACCAGGTGGTGGGAAGCAGCAGCTGCTGTGAGGAACAGCAGAATTTCCCGAGAAAAATATAAATGCAATAAAAACATATGCTAACCAATAATTGTCTCCATAGGAGAATACTATATATTACTGCCTCAAGTATTTGCACACTAACAAGGAAGCCAATTAGGGACTGTTTTCAAAGAGTTATAAAGCTAGAACGCAACAGCATGTATTTGTGTCAAATATGTTTAAATCAAATTAATAAAATTTTACATTTCACATTTTAACACGTACTATAATAAGCTATTCAGAAACATTTGAATTATGTTTCTTGTGTAGATACTTGAGGCTGAGTTCAGGTTCATTCCTGTAGTACTTAAACCCATCAGACTTACAACTTTAGTCCATATAAACAGAAAAGTTAACATACCCACTGGCACCAAGTCTTGATTGTGGTTTCGACTAATGGTGCCAAATGTGCTAGATGGTCTGGGAATAACTGGAGGGCCTGCATGACGAGAGTCATCTGCCACCTAATAGAAATAAAGCTTTAGTGTTTGAGGAACAACATGCACAGCAGAAATTTTAACTGCCATTTTCACAATTAGCTAAATATATTATAATGCCCTGAATGAACACTTTCCATTTTCATAGGTTCAATGCAAAAGTACTTTGCAGTTTCTCCTCCACTCCATTTCTTTTCTTGATTATCTTGAACTACACAAATTCTAACAGAGAGTGGGAAACCTATTTCTGGCAATCATCCAAAGGAGATGACCATGATAGGCCCAGAGTAATTCCACTTCTATTAACCTTTCTTTTAATGGGGAATCTTTCCCTTCATGAAGTATCTGCCCCAATGTTAAGGGTCAGATTGGTATCTGATTTCACGATTGTGTGTCTTGAGCCTGTGTCCTGTCACCACACAAATCAGCTCAATTTCGCACCAAAATGCCAAGCCCTAATACAACGTCTCATTTAGTTCAGAAACAATCACAGACTTAAGTTTAAATGAAAAATAACTTCTCCTATATGAATGTATGAATAATTTAAATCTATTAAAATAAACTTAGGTGCCTCTTGTCTCAGCTAAATTCTTCCCCATTATTCATCACCTTGCATCTTCTTATGTAATTCAGATCATTCAAATAACATTCAAGTACAAAAAATACAATTCCAGCAATAGTGTCAATTGCCTAAACCATAAGGCTGTTTTTGTCTATTGAGAAAGGCGATACCATGGATACTGATACTTACCTCACCGGCACTGTGGCTGCGTTGTCTTTGCAAGTGCTGTCGATGAACTAATGCGATTGAGGGTCTTGCAGTCTGAAGAGGAAGCCGTGGATCTATGAAAGTGGTGCTACGGGAATTGTGATCAACAAAAAAGGGCTGGAAAAAAGAGACAAAATAAATCAACAACAGATTACAAGAGGTGCTTCAACTTGTGTACACTTCTGTACAAAAAGTTTTAGTTTTAATTTTAAATGCCACATTCAATTATATGGCTGGAAATTAGAAGAAATTAGTAAAGCTGCATTTTCAAAATTTAATTGGGTAATCTTTGATGTCCCTTAACATGCAATAGACTTTCAACAGTTAACTGTCAGCAATAGTAGGAGCACACTCCAAATTCATCAAAATTCAGCCAAACTCATGAACCCTTCCTTATATCCAAAAAGAGATCTCTTGAGGTAAGAAATAAACATGAGTAACATGATTTACAATGTGTATGAAGAGCTGTAAGGAAGCTTTAACGGTGTTATTGAAATGAATTAAAGTTCAACTAGTTTTATTTGAAGTCTCAATTACAGTATGTCACTTCTTAATATATCCTCATCGAAATAATTAATTTCCAGATACAATCTAAAGGCTCATCATTTAACTACATTGTACTAGAACTTGATAGACTGTTTTAATTTATTTTAAGATAGATGACAACTCACAAAGTAAACCTTCAGATCGTAAAATCTAGTTACCAGAGTTCATTTGTCATTTCATTTTGTGTAGATCTTGGATTGTTGAACAGAGTAACTACTGCCAGAGAACAGCTTGGTACTCAATCATCAGTTTAGACTAAGTGGTTTTTAAGAATATTATGTATAATGTATAATGTGATTCATAAGAACCAGATTCAGCACAATAGGTTCAGGCTTTTAAGCACTTATGCTGGAAATCTGCAGCAAAAGCAATGTGCTGGAGAAACTCAGAAGGTCTAGCAGCATCTGTAGAAAGGGAGATAGAGTTAACATTTCAAATCCAGTGATCCTTCGTTCTGTGTATGTTTTAAGTGCTTTGTGTTTGGGCCACTGTAGAAACGAAAGAAACTGGCTTGAGCAAAGGAGGGGGTATAAACTTTTGATCACGGAAAGGAATCAGAAGCATGGAGTTCAGTTTTCTTACCAAATCAATAAACTTAAGAGCAAAAATTCTAAATTCTGAAAACTCAATACAAATGCATTTAAATCATTTATAAGAAAAAGGAAAGTCTTGTATTCATAAAATTCTTTTTACAAATGGCACTTTACAGCCAATGAAATATTTCTGAAGTATGATCATTGTTGTAATGTAGGATCATGTTGCAATTTTTTCTAAAGAATATGATCAACGAATATCTTGCACATATTTTTTATACTTTAACTCCAAAATGACATCGTTTATCAATAAGCAGGTGGAGGACTCAAATTTTTTTTTAAAAATCAGGCTTAATTCTAAAATGCATGTTGTTAAAAAGTTACAGATTGATCATTACTGATATTGTGTGCGTGTGTTGAGTCAGACTTTATCTTCCATGCTGGGGTCCAACTTACCTTTCCCTGATGGTCATGCTTCATTTCCCAGCCTCTTGGGAGTTCCAGCTGTTTATTAGCAAATAAGTTCAGGAATAAAACCAGATCTCGATTATGCTGATAGCGCTCAAAGTTGTGGGCATCCCGCCTCACTTTGGTGATCATGTGTTTTAAGCACGTATTGCTTGTAAACATTCGATAGGCACACTGTCAAAAACAAATCAAAATTGACAACAGTGATCACCATAATATGAGAAATTACCATCTCCAAAACAAAGTCAAAGTTATTACCTATGGGCAGTAATGTTGCAAACATAATACTCAATTAAATATTTTTAAAATCTTTGCGATCTTTCATATAATCACACCACGCAAATCCTGTAGTCCTTGTAGAATTGGAAATATAATACTCCATAAAATATTTGATCATCTATGCCTGTATTTAACTGATATTCTTCAAAAATGGTCATAGCCAATCATTCTCCCAGTTCCTATTTAAAAGGAGCTGATCAATAGAGCATAAACTACTTTAACGAGAGTCGATACAAACTTGATATTACCCTAGAAAGAATAATCAATAGATTTGGCTCATCTTGTCATTCCAAACTTATATTTTGTGATTGAACCAAGTTAAATAATCAGTCTCAATATCTACCATTCACAACATAGGGGATGGCCTAGTGGTATTATTGCTGAACTGTTAATCCAGAGGTCCAGGTAATGTTCTGGGAACCCAGGTTTGAATCCTGCTGCAGATGGAGGAATTTCAATTCAATTTTAAAAAACTGGAATTGAGAGTCTAATGATGACCATGAATCAATTGTCAGGGAAAACCCATTAGGTGGCTCACTAATGTCATTCAGGGAAGGAAACTGTCATCTGTACCTGGTCTGGTCTACATTTGACTCCATACCCATACAGATGGGCAAAAAATGTTGGCCAAATCAGCAAAGCCCATGAATGAATAAAAATTCATGATCTTTCAAATTTCTTTGCTGCAATGAAAATAAGTTCAAGTATTTGTACATCTTCTGATCTGTCATTCCTGTTGCTTTTATCTGAACACTTAGTAACATATTAATACATTTGAAGGTATGATTTGCAGGATACCACAAATACCGCCTTACCAATGAATTGTATCCAGTTAAAGTCACATTTTTAAAAAGGCAGAAACCCAGATTGGCTATGATTCTGTAGTTAAACTCCTTTTCAAATTGGATTGATTTCCAGCATTCAGGTTGAGAGAGAGAGGGGGAGGGAGAGAGGGGGCGAGGGGGAGAGAGAGAGAGACAGAGAGATGGGGGGGGGGGGGGGGGGAGAGAGGCCTGTGCTGCTCTGTTTTGTTTTGGACTTGTTTGCAGCAATGACATTTAGAGAGAGTCTTTACTTTCAACGCAAGGCGACTAGGAGACAGTTCTTCACTTGGGACTTTCACCGTTTACTAATGCCACAACAGAGGGCTGTATACAGGATAGCATTCAATCCCACTAGTCTACTGCAGAAGTGTGAAACTGACTTTTTAATCCCTGTCC